ACACAAACACTGCTAACAACACCGTGAACGCACGCTGACCATAATGGGCCTCACATTCACAGCCATCACTTCTTTGTACCTGATACATGTTTTGTTTTTATAGCAGCACCCTTATCTTCCATCTATCTCTTCCTCTCTCTTGGTTCCTCATCTCTCATCCCTTTCTCCTCTCCTCTCTCTGCTATGTTCCTTCTCCTCTTTTCATCTCTGTCTCTGTCCTCCAGCTGGCTAGGTGAGATAACTCCTCCACACCGAGATACTCTCAGCTCATTGGTCGGGTGATGGAACACAGGGCACCAATCAGACGCTGCATCATTAGTTGTGGAGATCATGAGCTGAGGCAGTGTGCTTATCTGTCCTTTCTGATCCTAATGCATCCTAAAACATCCCACAACTCTGCTGAAACACACCCCAGTCTGGTGTGGCTGCAGCTCGATTTAGTTAATTCCTCTTTAAGTGTGGAGTAATCAGATTTATTTCAGAGATAAGTTAACTATTACAAGGACTGACAAAGTAATAAGAAGATCTGCATATCTGAGTTAAAGTCATTCCGTTGGTTCAATAACGCTGATAAAAGAAACGCCATGGCAGCATTACATTTGTGTGAATGTGGTTGATAATTACATTTTATTCATTGCTTATACTTAATCTCATCTCTCATCTAACTGGGATGATAAAAGTAACTTGACCTGTGTGAGAACAGGAATGTGTGTTTTCTCTTCATGTTAACATTGAGTGCTGAGAAACCACAAGCCACTACTTTACCTAAGCTTTAGAGAGCACAATAGTAGCTGGCTAACATATGAACAGGACCACAAGTAAATCAACCAGGAGGTAAGAAGGATGAGGAGTCTGTTGGTAGAAGGATGAGAGTGAAATGTAACAAACACAAGTCTACAGACATGCTAACAGCTTTGTGGTGCTTTAGCTAAATGCTAATGTCAGCATACCATCCATAAACCGGAAGATGACTTAGCATTTTGGCTCTTCTCACAGTCAATGGTTTGTGAATAATGTTTTTTGGTTAGATAGCTAAAATAAGGTAAGATATTTTCCGCTCTTTTTTACAACTTAAAATATGTCAGTAAACACCTCACTGGTTAATGTCTTGATGTATCATAAAAAAAGGTGGTTGCTAACAAATGTCTAAAACGGAACTACTAAACGTTGTCATGGCAAACATTAGCGATGGTAATGTAAAGTCATGTGACCATGTTATAGTTTGTTCAAAGCCCAGTGTTAGCTATTTACTTCTGGTGATTGTATTTACGCTTTGACTTTTATAAAAGTGTTGTTAAATGTTATCCTGCTGAACAAAATATCTAAGAATCCTAAATGTTTGTTAGCCACATAGCATTATGCTCTGCTCAAACCAAGTGGAAAATGATGATTAGAATTGTTCAAGGCAGCCCTTGCAATGCTAACTTGATGGTTATCAGACAAAAATAACTGCAGCACTCTGGAAGCTCCCAACGACAATGCTAACATGTTAAAACATGCTTATGATATGATTTCTAAACTAAACAAAAGTGGTGTGCTGCCTAGTTGCTATGCCAAACTGTACAGTAAACACAGATCATACAGACTGCTTGCACAGCCCCGATGTAAACCCATTAACTCACTTCGATATGTTGAGGAATGCATTCCATCTTAACCCCCGTTACCTGAAAGTCACAGAAAACAAACACAACAAATCCCCACAAAATAGAACTGCATTGGATTATGCCTTATTTGCTTGTTTGCAATATTCTTTAAAGTAAATGCTTGACTGCTGAATTGACAATAATTTCTCCTTTTCCAATCAGTTGAATCATCTCCTGTTCTCTCTGAGTGTGATGCAAAACCACTGAGCTATCTGGCTTAAAGCTGTATGAGCAAGAGTGGAAAAGACTGTTTGGAAAAGCGTAAAGAGTTTTTTCTTTTATCACATCAGTGTCATTAGGATTCAAGCTGCTACAAGCTCTTATGCTGCAGAGCTGAGGGATAAGTGCACCCTGGTGGGCCATCATAGACTCTTCATCTCGGTGCATCAAAGATCTTAAAGTGTCCTGTGCTGCCATCCTGTGTTCACACCATATATGACGTCATTGGTTACTATGCATAAACAAATCATTCCTCTATTTTTTGAATATTGCTAAATAAATAGATAGATATTCAATTCAGTACAGCTATCCATACACTGAACCATCTTAAGTTGCATGTGGTTGCTTTCCTTCTGGCTCTTTCTATGAGTTCCTCTCTGATATCTGATATTTGACAAACAGGGCCGAGACAGACTTGATCCCAGGAAAGGTTTGCTGGTCTATTACCCTGTAAGTCAGCCAGACAACAGGCAGAGACGCCCTTACTGTTCTGACAGGTCATTTGGCTGCCAAGTCTGACCTTTGTCAGTTGGCCTCGCATCTCCAAGCTTCAAATAGGATAACATTTCAAACAGAAAGGTTAATATGAGGGCTCGGGCATATTTAGAGAAGGTCAAAGATCTTCCCCTCTCACACTGTCCCACAGTGTCCTAAAGCAGCAAACAACTCATTATGAACAAACATCTGAAAGGCTAAACCAGTACGTGTTTTGAAGAGCACTGACGTATAATTAGCTCCACAGGGCTATCACATAGGTTAGACTGGATTATGAGGCATTGTTTGTTGTATTCAGCAATTAATAGAGAGGGGAAGTGTAACAAGCATGTTACTAGGGTCTGCTCGCTGACAACATCTTTGTCAAATGAGCCTATTGGAATTTAATTATTATTTTCTCCAACAAATTGTATTTTTGAGAGCCTTAAATTGCTTAGAAATGTGGTTAATCATCACTAAAATATCCGCCATGTTGAATATTCATGTAAAATATTGGTCTTGTGCATGAGTGGGGAATAATGGCCGAACAGCTTCACAAATAGAGCAGTCCCTGACATGTATTGATCCTACTTGTATGGACATTTGGTAGGTATATGTCACATGTGGAGAGTCTTTAGAGGTATACCATAAACCCAACAGGAAGTCGGCCATTTTGACATTCATTCCAGGGTTTTTTTTGTTCAGCATTTGAGAGCTGTGCTTTAACAACCTCCTCCTCCTCCTTCCAGGAATTGTGATTGAATGACTCTTGTTAAATGAAGCAGTTCCACACATCAGCCAGTAGATGGTGGCACAGCCTCCTAATAAAGCCCCCATAGGTATGTACAGTATACGACCTCATTGTGATCCAGTAAAGCCATCCAGGAACATGATGTCACACATTATGCTCCCCAGATCTCAAGGCCTGGCTCATCGTATCATTTCATAAGGTTGAGGTCACGTTGACTCATCATGGCGATGCTATTCTGAGTTGAGACGTCTGCTCGGAGAGAGATGCCCTCTCTGTAACTGTAGCTCTGGCAGGATTAAGGACAGGCAGCTTTCATGATGTCAGCAAAGGGCCATGAGCTCTGAACGTCATGGCCTTGTTAGAGCCTGATGTAATCATGAGCTGTTTGATCTGTGTGTTTGGTCACAAAATAAAGCATGTGACAAGAAATGCTCAAATAATGCGTTCAGGTATGATAACAAGCGGTCTGCTGTAGGCCATAACCAGTTAAAAAAAATGTTGTATCATAAAATGGAATTTGGTGAGATGAGTTACTGACAGTGTATTCATATAATGAGTATGTATGGGGGAAATTAAGGATTACTTTTGTCATTGTTTACTGTTTGTTTATGAATTAATGAGTTTGTCTTTAAAATGTCTTAGAGTAGTGAAGAAAATTGAAAATAGCCATATTCATTTCCATAAAGGAGAAAACGGCTGTTTTCAAAATGAATGTTATTGATATGGTCTTGGACTACTAAAAATGGTCTCTCAAATCCAAAACTAGAGTGCTAAACCTCAAATGTATGATGTCATCATGTATAAAGTATCTGAAGACAATGAATTTGGAAAGATGTGAGAGCTCAATTTTTGTGATTATATGGGATATTTTTACATTTCAGAACTGAAACACTAAGCATATCGTGGTAAACACAAAAATAAGAGAATTTCTGTTCCCCTTTAAGGCTAAAGTGACGACTTAACATTTTTTGTTTTTTGACCAACACTGCAAAATGTAAATATATAGTTAACTATAAGGGCATTAATAAAACTAGAAATATTTACATTTGAGATGTTACTTTAATGTGACTTATATTGATTATTATCTAAATAGTTGCCGATTCATTTTCAGTCAATCAGCTCTAATTGTGTGGGGGATATAGTCAGGAATAATCTGCTGTTTGCCATTGCGTTTTATGGTCATTTTATTGCATCATTGTTTAGTATTTCACACTTATATTTTTATGTTGATTTTCTGTATTTGTATAAAAGTCCTTTTAAGGATGGTTGTTTTAAATTAGCTTGGTCTATAAATGCTGTGTGGCACTGGTCCACAATGTCTCCCTATAAATATAAACAATAAATATATAAATATGGCTTTTTACAGGGCCTTAGTTTGGCAGCGTGAACGAATTGGCATGGTCATATGTTCATAATTCTATTAATACTAATAACTCAATATATAATTAAGTTGTATACAAGAATTGTAAGAGCACATGGACCATTATGATTAACCAGAGTTGTATGGCAAATGTAATATATGATTCTGTGAAGTGTGTTGTGCTTTTTAAATGTTGTTTGGTCTGGATCTTTGTGTATTTAAACAAGGACTATCTATGGACAGGTCTTGCAAACTAGCTTCAGCTATAAATACTATGCGGCACCGGTTCATTTTATAGCATGACTTGCAATGTTATTAATACTCATCACGCTCAGCATGACATGAATAGTATAGAAGTATTCAGAGTACACACTGGTAGCCACAAATCATCTTTCCACCATCACAGTGTGTCCCTAACCTACTCAGGGAACTGTATCATAAAATCCATAATACACAATGTAATACATAAATAATGTATCATAATCTATCCCAGATAAGCATCCACAGCTGTTCCCTATCAGTCCTCTCGTCTTTTCCCAAGAGGACATGGTGACGAGGAGGAAGGCTGACCAAGCTCTCAGTCACTCTCTCTCCACCATTTCTCCCTCTCTCCCTCCCTCCCTCTTAAACCCACACCCTTGATGCAGGCAGGCGTGCACACACCGGCAGATTGAGTCAGCTTCCGCATCGCTCTCCCTTCTCTCCATCTCTGCTGCCTCTATCCTTCCACTGGTGGATTTCTAGCCCACTTCTGACAAACACCGGTAAGAACGAATCATCCCTGCTTCAGTGTGTTTCTCAATGTGTCTGTGTCGCTGTGTCTTTTTCTGCTTCTGTTTTAGAGACAAACAAAGGACCGGGGTGTGGCTGGATGAGCAGGGGCTGTTGGAAGTGATGTGAAAACAGGGATGTTGGAGGATGACGAGGGAACAATGGAGATAATGCTTGAATCGTTAGGTTTACTGATTGAATTGAAGAACAGTGAGATTAGGACTGTTACGGCTGTTGGTAAGATTAAGAAACAATGTGTTGCTAGAGGGTAATCCAGAAAAGATTGTTTCAAGAGATCATTCAAATCATGGCCTTGTTTCCAGTATGTCTTTTTCTATGTCCAAGGGATTGTATTAGGCCTCCTCTTCTGAATACAGACTAGTGATTTTACAGTAGCTAGGTTTGCAAATGGCTGCAGGCTGATGTGTCACATTTCAGCAGCAGATTCTGAGCAGACTGTGGAAAATAGATTAGTCAGACCTGCGGCTAGGTCAGGAATATGACTGCAGTGGAGGATCGCCTGAATCCACCACACTGCAGGGGTGGATGCAGAGGCAGAGTGAGAGAGGAAGAGAGGATGTGGAGGAAAGAGAACAAAGACATCTGGCTCTGAGAGGAGGAAAACAAAGACAAAGAAAGGAGCAGACAGCTAGGTAAAACAAAAAAGGACCCATGTTCGCCAAAAAGGTATTGTGGAATATCAAGAGAGAGCATGTGCTAGACTGCCCCCGCTCACTGGCAGCCATGTCTGCACAGAAAGGTGTGGCTACGACACGTGCTGCTCAGTCAGTTACAGAACATTATCTTCAACATCAGACAAAGGCATTTCGATTTTAGACAGCTATTGTGATGACTTGTTATTGCTCTTACATTACAGAATAGATCTAATACAATGTGCTGCTGCATTGTCAGTGTGATGACTGACAGGAAAGGGGGAAATCTGTGTGCTCAGGTGTTTTTCTTTCTATCTCCTCTTTCACAGCCAATATGTCTGACAAGCCTGATATGACGGAGATTGCCCGTTTCGACAAGGCAAAGCTGAAGAAGACAGAAACACAAGAGAAAAACCCTCTGCCCACCAAAGAGAGTGAGTGCCCCTTGTGTGTGTTCTGGGCAGAAGCCTTGTTCCCCCTGCAACACTTTTCCTGGCAGTAGCTACTCATCACTTTCACTGCCGTCAGAAGACTATACGCTTAGCAAGCAGAGCGGAAGGAAAACAATTTGCTGCAACATCAGCACATCATTCATATACAGATAATGAACACGCAGCACTCTCCCTGTTACATATTCACTAAACACAAGCCTGCTGACCTAAACTATCTTCTTTTCCCCTCCTCCAGCCATCGAGCAAGAGAGGAAAGGCGATGCCACACCTTGACTTCGAGCACATGAAGAAATGATGCTGAGATGCCACAGCAAAAAGCACTTTTTTTTTATCATCACAGTATTTCAATCTCTTGCTTTGTCTTCAGAAAAGGTTGCTTTTGAGCATCGCGGGGTGCCGTAAAGTGTTTAAGGCATCCCCTCATTGGGGGTTCTCTTACCACATGGGTGGAAAAACGTTAGCTTGGGTGCCTGTCTTGCACTGTTAGCCTATAGCTAACATGTCTCCAATATTGCCAAACTGGGGAGTGGTGTAGTGATGTAGCACAGAGAGAGGCAGGCATCCATGCTAGTGGGAGGGAGAGGGGGGGGTGTCTAAAGATGGGAGCAATCGGAGTCGAATCATGTGGGATGTTTTCTTATTCAACTTTTTACTTTTATTTATGAAATAAATATGAAGACGTGAAACCAGTCAGTCCTGTGCCTTTTGCTGTCTCCTTTATGTCTGTGTAACACACACACCCATGGGTGCTCAGACATGGAATAAATACACTAATAAAAATGAGTTATCTAGATTACGGATTGGTCAGTACTGTATATTTAAGTATACAATTATGATTCACACCTTTCATGTGAGTATATACGGAGCCATATTAGAGTAATGATATTTTACAACTACATTACTTTGAGTTCTTTGTACAAAAAGGGGCAAAACATATTGTACTGTTAATAATTTAAGAATAAGTGTTGGCTATATACTAATAAGAAGAAGAATCCTAATAACCTCCTAGGCTAAACACACACTGGTATAACAGAACACTGAATAAACACAATAAATCAACTGCAAAACTCTAATATGAATGAATAAATTATTTAAACAGAACTCCTTATATCCTCTCTTTTTAACTGGCAACAATAAGGCAACCAGCCTGGGGACATTTCAAGCTATTTAACACTATAAATTGATTAATGGACCAAAAAAACCCTACAAACATTCTGATAATCAGCTAACTAAAAGCTTAATAATTCTGCCTTCTCAAATGTGTTTTTTGTGTGTTGCCTTACCCTTCTATGACAATATATGTAAAAGGTTTTAGACTTTTGAATGTGCCAAGAAAACTATTTGAAGACCTCACACACTCTGGGGCTATTTAAAAAAAATATTTGACCAAATGATGAATGTGCAAATGATGAATGAATAAAAACACATTTAGATTAAATATATACGAAAGATGACATGAGTTCCATCCCTACTTGTTATCATTCAGTGTTGTACAGCAAGATCATAAAGACACTCCAAAAGCAGTGCTGCTGGATGGTGTAGCTAGCAGTATAGATGATGCATTCCTCTGATAGGCTGGATTATGGTTGATTAAAAAGAGAGGAAGGAGGGATTGGTGACAACAATATTGTCATGGAGACGGACACCATAAACAAACGCAGCAGTGTAAAAATACCACATGGACGTTTGGAAAGGGCTATTTAAGATAATATATCAATCATTACATCTGAATAGGAATTACACTGCAGAACGAAAGATATTTCATTCAGTCAACAGACTATTGGATTTACTTCACCAATCAACAGTTTACACCATCTCGAACTGTGCAATATTAACAATACCCAATCTCAGTAAAACCTGTGCCATTATTAAACTGTGCAATAACATTTAGGATTATTACTGTACAATGTATATTTGTTATCAACAATCTGGTGTGCATTATTTACATGATTTATACACCCCTGTATATATTTGTATACACATTTTTGTTGAAATATATTGTAGTAGAACAGGCACATTGTTTCTTAATTTAATATGTAAATGTAAATAGGTGGATTTCATTTTATGTAATCTTCTATTTGCACATTTTTACTCCATATAAATCTTTTAATTATCTTTTATCTTGTTATATTACTGACACATATCGAATTTCCCCATGTGATAAATAAAGCATTCTGATTTCAAAACAAATTATGTTTCTCACTTTAAGGGATTTTTACTAAACCTTTTTGCAGTTATTGATATGTTGTTAATGCCGCCTAGTTTAGATGTAGTATACATTTGTATTTTGTTTCCCATGACACCCTCCTGCTACAATGTTAATCTACAGCCCGATCTGTGCCCTGACTGAAGTCTCTGGCTGGCGTCAGCAGTCCTGCCACCCTCCCTCGGCCTGTGAAGCCCGTCACCTCCTGAGCCTTTATTGCTCCATTTCTCTCACCTTGCACTGCCGTAAATCTCCCGTCAACACTCTGTTGAAGGCCTAATGTGTCTGAAATGTCTGTTAGAACAATTTAATTAGTGCGCATTTTTACTTGATGTTATTCCAAGCATGGCGTAATTAAAAAAGGTCCTGACCCTTCCGTCTCCCTCTTGAGCTGGAATACACAAAGATGCGTTGAAATACATTCCGAAATGAATAGGGAGCTTTTAAGGTGCTATTATTCTAATGGTATTGTTTTGCTTGTAATATATAATTAATAGTAAAACACCGTTGAATAAATTGTATTAATATAGTTACCAAATTGTACATTTGACAGCTGCCAAAAAGTCGGATTATTAATGTAGCCTATTAATAGTACATTAATTAAATATATGTATTTTAATGACACTTAATCCGCGTGATTTGTCCTTGAAAGTTTCGGTGTTTAAGAGACATCTCGCACCCACGCTGCAACACGCCCATCTGGATAGATTGCTATTGTTTGCAGGTTATTAACCCATTCAAAACCCTAAATGAGCCTTCGGTTAGGGACAAATTGTGAAGCATCACAGATTGATTTTGTATCGCTCGGTATTATTTCCCAACAAGGTGATGAGGGGCTCGAGGTTTCAGTTTTATTGCAGTATGAATGTGGGCCATATCTAATTAGTAGGGATTATCCTCACCTACACCTCCTCGCTATTGTGCGGAGGAGCTCGCTCAGCCCTCTGCATATTGCCCGATGCGCAGAGTGTATTGTTGTTTTAGGTGATTTTGAGTGGTTTAGAGGGGATTTGAGAAGTATAAGCGATTCAATGTAAAAACTGTAATGTTAATCAATAACTCGTCTCGCATTAAATCACGGTATGAGTATGAAATGACAGAAACTGGTATGATGACTTTTGACTAAATCAAGGATGATCAGCTAAATGAAATCTAATACTGGACTGGACTGGATAATCCCAGATTTGATTAATGAATGATCAACTTCATCGATCTTTAAATTTAAAACTACAAATCAGCAACAACAAAAAAGATGTCCCAAGCAAAACATTTACAATTTTATGGTTAGGAGGACATTAAAGCTGTTATTTGTTTATACTCTTGTAAATTCCAGACTGTTTTCACACCGAGTTGTTTTCCAGGAAAACATCTATTATCCTATTATCAGGACGATGCCAATGTCGCCGATGTGTGAGGGAGTATTTACATGACTATATACCATCAGCTCCTGAAAGACTTTATGACTTTGTAGTCGCAGTCTTTCTCCCTGGGGAACTGGTGCCATTTCCCAAACGTTTCCAAGTACACATTTAAGCCTCAGGACGGCATGTTGTCCTGTTTTTCCTTAACGTATAACTGGAGACATATTTAATGTCTTACTGTCTAACAAAGTTGATTATGAAATATGGCAGGCCTCAGTGCAACAGTCAGCCTCTATTAAAAAACAAAACAATAAATCCTTGAATTCCAATGGTTTATGTCTCAAGATAGTTTTACAGTGATCTTACATATGTTTCGACTATTCGTCTTCTCGCAACATTTCAATATCCCCCACTTGATTTATATTATTGTAAACATATAATCAATTAACTATGTTATTGATATTTGGTTCAATGTGTCCAATCATACTGGATATGCGTCCACTGAGCCTGGGAACGACAGGTGAATGAATAGGGGAGAGAGCGGGGGGGTGGGGGCTGATTTATTTGAAGGGCACTTATGCACCGAAGGCTCCTATTTGTCAAAAGGAATGGGCAATCAATGTCGTCGTGGACGCATTTTCACAGTCGACCGTTACCTGCAGGAAAAATCTGTCAAGGGGCCGGACCATATAAATATCATCAGCATGGCTTGAGCTAAATCATCAATTGCCTCGCCTCTCTCTCGGCAATAACATCTGGGATTAACACAAACAAAGTTCTCCGTTTAGAATACAGCTGTTATGGGACCTTTTTATTTCCTAGCCATGGTTCTATCCATGTGCTCTCATGCTCATCTTGCATTGGCTTGGTATGTGACCTACTTTTGGATTAATACGTTTATAACATACTTCAGTGTATATGTGTTTACTGGTGGTAAAGTGGCAAGGGACTAACATGGCTTTCTTGTTTTCTTTCTATAGGACGGTGAATAATTTCCTCATGACTGGACCTAAGGTAAATACATGTTGATCCAACTTTCTGTGCACGTTTTTGCGTTAAAACACTCCCGAAAATGCAAATATGTTAGCCGATTTTTTTTTTTAATTAAAAACCTATTCTGAATGATTGAATGCAACAATGACTAACTTTACATTTTATTTTTCTCTCCCTAGGCTTTTCTGACATATGCCGATAGTGTGCAAGTTGGCGCACAGAGTGGAATACACGAGTGCAAACACCAGTTCGCGTGGGAGCGCTGGAACTGCCCAGAAAACACGCTCCAATTATCCACACACAACGGCCTCCGCAGTGGTAAGACATGTAGGTCCATATTCATATCCTTGCATGACTTGCATAAGTGGAGTGGTGGAGTTGTGGCGAGTTCAACTCCAACAATTGTTCTTTTGCACAAAGTGAATTATTCAACACGAGGGGCTGATGTGGTCTGACCTCCATTGAGAAGAGACACAAACCCAAAGTATAAATTAATTACTGGGACCACAGCGATGAAACACCATACATGCACAACAGTATTGCACCCTTACGCACAACAATATGCCTTTACGCATGGTTTACGCACAGTAGTAAACTGCAGCCATTGCTCATTTATCGTTCCCAATTGGAATAAAAACTAATCGACTCTATTTCACTTGTTATAGCAACAAGACAAACGTCTTTCGTCCATGGCATCAGCGCTGCCGGAGTGATGTACACGCTCACCAAGAACTGCAGTATGGGAGACTTTGACAACTGCGGCTGTGATGACTCCAGAATTGGACAAACAGGTAAATATCTATTTTATGCATAATCTATTTAGGTTACCATTAGATTAATTATGTAATATTTGTTTTATCATTATGATAACTGAATAACAATGTGTGTATTTGATTCACCAGGTGGTAGAGGGTGGATTTGGGGAGGCTGCAGTGATAACGTGGCGTTTGGAGAGAAGATCTCAAAACAGTTCGTGGACGCGCTGGAAGGTGGGCAGGACTCACGCGCAGCAATCAACCTGCATAACAACGAGGCAGGCCGACTGGTAAGATATGATTTTTCTTTACTCACTAGATTTTATTATCACTTGTTATGGACAGTGGAATAAGTGTTCTGGCTTTTAACCTGAGTAAAAGTAGCAATTCTACATTGAAAAAGCCCTCTGGCACAAGTGAATGAAAAAGTACCTTTTGTGCGTAATAGGCATTCCAGATTCATATATGTGGAACTCATTTTAATAACTTCATATACTGCAACCGAAAAACATATCGTTTATTATGACCTGTATTCGTTAATAATCTCTATCTGTGAATTAAATAGTAACTCAATTCGTTATATAAATGTAGTGGAGTTAAGTATAAAGTAGCATTTGTTGTAGTAAAGTAGATTAGTAAAGTAGTGCAAGTAAGTACTTACTAGTAAATATACTTTATTATACAATACCACTATTTATTGACTAAATTCCATTATGTGCAATAAACTGAGGCCAGGGGAGGAAACTTGATGTTTTTTGGGGACATTTACGCGTGGGATGCAATCCAAGAAGGAGAAAGTAGTGCATGTGTTGTGAATAAATAACCAACTAACACGGTCCCTCTCTTTGCAGGCAATCAAAGCTACCATGAGGAGAGCCTGTAAGTGCCACGGGGTGTCCGGGAGCTGCAGCATCCAAACCTGCTGGATGCAGCTGGCCGACTTCAGAGAGGTGGGGAACTACCTGAAGATGAAGTACGAACACGCAAAGAAGCTGGAGATGGACAAGAAGCCGACAAGGTCTGGGAACAGCGCGGACAACCGAGCAGCCATTGCACTAGCTTTTAGGAGCATCGCTCGCACTGAGCTCGTCTACCTGGAGGATTCCCCGGATTACTGCGTCAAGAACCGGAGCCTGGGATTCCAGGGCCTCGAGGGGCGGGAATGTCTGAAGGGAAACAAGAACATGTCTCTGTGGGAGAGAAAGAGCTGCCGCAGGCTGTGCTATGAATGCGGCCTCAAAGTGGTGGAGAAGCGCATTGAGGTCGTCAGCAGCTGCAACTGCAAATTCCACTGGTGCTGCACGGTCAAGTGTGACAAATGTACGCAAGTTGTTACGAAATATTACTGCGCGCGTAAACAAGGTGGCAGGAAGCCACATAATAAAGCCAAGCGCAGGAACCGTGCGCAACGCCACTGACTACTATTTGTTGCATTGGATCTCTATTTCTATTGTGGACATTAACAAACATTATTCAGTATTACAAGAATGTAACTTTAATTTTCAACTTGACATATCAACTGACACCTTTTAATGCACTTGTTCTTTTGATTTGATTCTGACAAAACTCTCCATTCATGCTCACTCGTTTGTGTTGGGTTTCAGGGATAACTGGTTTATTGCGTCTGTAAATTGTCTTGTATTTTATATGTATTCTTAATTGAAATTATAATAAATATTTTTCTACAATACGCATGTCTCAATCCGATTTGTCACTGGCAGTCTTTTGTATATTGGTGCCCTGGTGTCAAACAGCCTTGGGCAAGAAAATAAACTGTCTCCTAATGCCATCCTTTGAAGTGCGCATATAGGCGTTTCCTTAACTCGTCATCCAATCAGCTTCCTCTGACCTGGGGGACAAAGAACAAGAGTTCCATTTGTTATTCATTCATTTAAGAGAGAAAGTGGCAGCACACAGGGCCAACATAACGAGGTTTCTACTTTGAGGGCTGAAAGGTGCAGGAGAAAATGGTGCACTTATTATTTTGGCTCCTGACTCTTTTATACAAAATGTGTCCGGGACATGCTTGGTAAGAAATGTTTTTCTACTTTGCCTGAATCGTTTCAATTTGTGAAGAACTAGATGGCTTTATTGATCTAATTGTTTATCCTCTATCTTGTTCTCAGGGTGGCGAGTAACTTTCTTATGACGGGACCCAAGGTAAAAAGATAACACTAAGTTTAGGATAACATTTCAAAAATGTGAATCAGGCTGAATATAATTGATGTTGCCTCTTCTGCAGACATATCTCACCTATTCAAGAAGCGTGCAGGAGGGCGCAATGAGTGGGATTGAGGAGTGCAGACACCAGTTTGCGTGGGACAGATGGAACTGCCCCGAAAGCGCAACTCAGTTTAAAGGACTGAGACGAGGTAGGTCGAGATTGTAAATGCAATTCCTGTAAAATACAAGTTGTGTGTGACTCTAAACGAAAAAAACGTACAGGCGTATGTGTGAAGAGTTACACAATTATTGAAGAAATATGTAGGGGCCCATAAATAAATACGAATGTTGGTCTTATAGTTAAACAAGTTGCATTGGTTTTAATTATGCCTTATCATGCATAAGCCCAATCGATTGTTTTAATATAAAAAGTTATAGTGACCAAGTATTGTTTGTATCATTATTGATTACGCAATTCTCACGTTATCCTATTTCCAGCCACCAGAGAGACCTCTTTCGTCCATGCCATCAGCGCAGCGGGGGTCATGTACACTCTGACCAGGAACTGTAGTCTGGGAGACCTCGAAAACTGCGGCTGTGATGTCTCCAAGAACGGTAAAATTGGTAAGGTTTGCACCAAAATATAATCATTGTTTTATTATAACATGCACACAAAATGAATTATATATAATTGTTATGTTGTGTGCAGGTGGTAGTGGCTGGCTGTGGGGTGGCTGTAGTGATAACGTGGATTTCGGAGAGAGGATTTCCAAACAGTACGTGGACGCGCAGGAGACAGGTCAGGACTCCAGGGCTGCAGTCAACCTGCACAACAACGCGGCTGGGCGCCTGGTGAGTGCTTTTCCCACAACAAACATGTATCTGAAATTAAATCATTATGAGTGGTTTGTAACTTTCCCATGTTTCCAACAGGCAGTGAAGGCAACGATGAGGCGCATCTGTAGATGTCACGGCATGTCTGAGAGCTGCAGTGTCCAAACCTGCTGGACGCAGCTATCAGATCTCAGAGACATCGGCAACTACCTGAAGTTGAAGCACAGCCAAGCGCAGAAACTGGACATCAACAAGAAGCGCATGCGTGCTGGAAACAGCGCAGACAACCGAGGAGCCATCGTGGACGCGTTCGGCAGCGTGGCCCAGACTGAGCTCATCTACCTGGAGGACTCCCCGGACTACTGCAGGAGGAACACCAGCGTGGGCCTGTACGGCACCGAGGGCCGGGAGTGCCTGCAGCACGGGGAGGGGCTGACCCAGTGGGAGAGGCGCAGCTGCCGCAGGTTGTGTCATGAATGCGGCCTGAAGGTGGAGGAGAGGCGCACGGAGGTAGTAAGCAGCTGCAACTGCAAATTCCAATGGTGCTGCACGGTGAACTGCGAGGACTGTTCTCAGGTGATAGTCAAACACGTGTGCGCCAGGAGGGAAGCGGCTGATGGGCACGGCTACAGACGGAGGTACCGTGGACCCAAGTGAAACAAAATGGCGTCGTGGTAAACTCTGTTAAAAAAAATGGCCCATGAGCATGTTAAATGTCTCTTTGCACTTTTTTGTATCCTTGTATAAAAACGTACATGTCTATATTTATAAATATTTTCTTAAAATAAAATAAAAAAGTTTAAAATACCTCTGAATGTGGTTTCATTTCGGTCAATACACATTAGAATGTTTCACCTAATACATCCCAGGGTCATTGGATTTTAAGTGAGGGCACACAAGTGTCTATTAGAATAAGAATGCGGCGAATACACTCAGCCCAGGATTACATGGATAACATGGTGCAGCTCGCACCTATAGCCAATACGTTGATCCACTGCCACTTTGATGTCAACGTGTATTGATTTCACTCAAAGAGCAGCAATGCTTTGTAAGATAAATTAGAGGAAGCATTTCCACCACTATAAATTACTTTTAGGGTTGATAATCCGGGACACTACACTACAGCCTGTAGTCTTTTGTAACATCCCACAGGCAATGCAAATGAATCACAATGCATCAAAGGGAGGACAGTGTAACTGCAAATGTGACCCAACTTTACTGTTTAAGCTAATTGGGTTCCAGATATTGCACTGAATCAATCCCACATTGAAAACAATAAACCATTTATAATCCTTTAATTTGCAAGTAATTAGTTCTAAGAGAAGCCTGGTCTCCGCCCCCTGACCTATCTGTGTCTGAAGAGCCATTCATCCACCTCCTCCTCTCCTCTACCCCCTGCATCTCCAAAAATCTTCCTCCCAGCTGGACATGTCATAAATCTGCCACTGTGTCAGCTCAGTGAGTGATGGCATGGATATTACCTGCATGGGGGGGGGGGGGGGGGGGCATGCCTGGGGGACAAGAGAGGGGGACGAGGCTGTTTCAGGCAGTTAGTGAGGAGATAAGTGAGAAGTTACAGGATTAGCATTGCATTATACAGTTGATCAACTGGTGTCAGTTAGGGTTAGGCTGAGACGATATGAATATTTCATTTTAAGATTATCCTGAAAAAAGGTAGTGTGACTCCCGTTGTTATCCTGATAATATGCTTTAAATGTCACTCAAACATACCGGAAACTACATTTTGTTGAGAATTAAATATTATTTACTGAAGTTAGGACACACCTTTTAATCAAACGAAAAACAAATCTCGTATAGCACAATCATAAATCATAAGGTCCCACTGGTTAAACGATTAACACCATTTTTTTAAAGCAACATTATATAAGTCAAGATAACTCCAGTATTTCTTTTATAAATCGGACTCAAATTTGAAAACAAATCGCGACAGATCTGATATTTGAAATTCAATACTAATGACTTATTGGGTTTATATTGCAAATCCTGATCCAATCCTATGTTGCCAAATCCCTTATATTGATCTCTCCACTCTCATTGGAGTCAGAAAGTGCACAGTTTGTGAAAAGTAGACGAATAAGCCCGTAGGCACTGATAAAATAACGTAGCATAATTGCAAATATACCTTTTTAGGGCAAAAAGTAATTGAAGCATATGGACAGAAACAACCAGAGGGAAAGTAACACTCCCTCCCATCCTTCCCATTTGCCTGTTTTGCTACTGGGGATGTCCTGTATTTCCCATGATGCCCTGCTGTGCATTAATGAAGGTTTCGCCCCACTGGAGGCCCTCACCGACCCGCCTCTCCTCTCTGCTCTCCGTCGAGGACATTATTGCTTCCATGTTGTTCCCATACGATTGTGGTTGCTCGATAGTGATTTACAAACTACTGGTAAACTCCCTTAACGGTGTCCTTTACCGGCTCAGTGACTCATCCTACAATATGAATATGAAAAGAGGGAGCAGCATAAGATAAGAAGTACTTTATTGATCCCAAATTAGGAAACGTTTCATTGCAGCAGCATAACAACAAACAAGACATTGCACATAATTAGAAATGAGATAAACAATTGTAAAATAGAAACATCTCAAAATAGAAATAAACCGGCATTCGAGAGTTTAGGAAATAGATAATATAAAATAGACTGAAGTTAAAAAAAATCTATAAACCATCTGACAAAATAACAACACTACTGAAGGGCCAATCTTCAGTTAACCCAATATAAAGCAGGATATTATTTACATTACGTGTGCAGTGATCTTATTCTATCTTTTATGTATATATTTGTCTTACTTTGCACTATTGTGTCTACTGTACTATTTCATGTATTTGAGTTTCTATGTTAAGTATGTTGCATTGTAGGAAGAGTCTAAAATCTAAGGTTTTCCTTGATAACACTTTGCTATTGTGCACATGACAAATACATCTGAAGGTTTTGCCCGCTTGCTTTATAGTTATACCCCGTTACATGCCTCCTCCACAGTGGCATGTCTTTCATTGGGGGGGGGGGGGGGGGGGGGACAGAGGAGGAAAACAGGGGAGGTGATCTCCCGCAGGGACCCCCCAGGAGGACTCATGTATTCACCCAGACAAGCCTGGGGGTCTGAGCGTGATTGATCATCCCCTCTCTCTGCTGCCCTCCTCTCTCACCTGGGTGTGAGATACCATGAGGCCTGTGGCTGGGATACAACAGGACTCAGCTGATATCTCTTCGCAGCAACTTGAATCAGCGCCTTTAAAGGAAGCTAGAAGAACATGTGAACAGAAACTACAACACAGGCTGTTTAGATCTCACCATATCTCAAAATGTTTACAGAATCTGCATCTCACAATTATGTCCATGTGAAAAATCTGACACATTAGTTAGCAGAAACTAAAATGATAAGCTGCAAACTTGTGGTGGCGTACTTAGGTGTGTGAAAGGAAACCAGCAGGCTCTAAGTTTAGAGTGAGACACGCTGCAGTGTGTGCATAGCGATACGTTTGAGTGCTTTCAAACCACGGAGAGCTACTTTTACACGAGAAGACAGAAAGTCTAAAGACATAACAAAACAATTTACTGGAAGAGAGGTCATTTTCGAATTTCCTTTTATAGGTAGGTGGAGTTTGTTCAAGACTTTAAATGAAACCAGTCTGTGAAGCCGCTGCAACACATGAAGCTCTGGTTGTGATTA